CAACCAATATAAATAGTAATGTAGTAAATTATATCATTATTCTAATGAAATATTACATTTTAAAAATGAAATATCAAGGAAGAAAGCCCACTTTTGATATTTTTAAAAACTTTCTGCTGTTAAGGATACAGATTGAAGAAGCAATTGCACTGTCAAATGATAAAATTGAATCGTACAAACAAAAATGGAGTAAATTATCTAACACTTTAACAAACAATACTGATGACTAAAACAATAATATTATGTAAATTAAACGTATAAACCATAAAACGTAAAAAATTAAATGAAACTGATTCACTTGTCTTTTTTCCCCCTGTCTTGTGTGTGTGTGTGTGTGTGTGTGTGTGTTTTGTTTAGTGTAAGAATGATAGTTTTTTAAGTAGATTTATTCTTTTTCTTTCTGAAATTTTTGAAAGTTTTGTTTTTACTTTTTCTCTGTGTGGAGTTTCTATGTAAATGTGAATGATTGTGTTTATATGTTTTTGAAAAATAAAATAAATGAAAAAAAAAAAAATACCTTAAACGTCAAAAGTAATAAAAAGGAGAAAACTTACTTCTATTCATTCAAATTCCAATCACCAAATTTCGTCTCTAAATTTTTTGTTTCATTTTTACAGTCTGAAAAATACATTCCTTCCACATGCAAACTGCTCTTGATGACATTTGGGCATATTAAAGTATCCTACGAGTAATAACTGCCGTATGCTTTATGAAAAATTGAAAAGCAATGACAGCTACAGCTCGTAGAACAAGTAAACCAACCCAGCGTTCCGAGCAAGTTCCAAGTCTTCCATTTTCATAGCTGCTTTTTTCATGTTTTCACATCTGTCAACACTTAATTTTTGTCTGTTTCAATCCTCAAATATGTTTTCTTTCTTTTAAAAAGGTGTATGACTAACAATTCCAAATGATACCCCTCTGAATCAAACACAAATTATTTTCCTCCCGTGAAATACACAACTTTAAAAAATGGCTGCCGCTTACATTTAACAAAGCCAGGTCTAATATAAATTCGCAGTAGGTAACAGAAATACGGATGGATGGTTGGAATTTTCTCCTACGCGAATTGTTTGTTTTTATTATTAAAACAAGCGATCATTCATATTTTTTAAACAAAATAATAATATCACTGTCATTAAATGTTGATTGTCGGACTTATTTTTCAGCTCAAGACTTCTTGTTTTTAATGAGAAATTCGCACGAAATGGGGCTCTCAATGGGGAAACAGATTTTAATATTTATGTTAATATTATGGAAATTTCGTTTAAACTTGTTTTTTAGCATAAAATAAAAAGAAAATTTGTTTGTTTGTTGTGTAAGATGTAATTTTATTTCATCTCGTGAACTTTAAAAACAGTATTCTCACTCGTGGCTACGCCACTCGTGAGAATACTGTTTTTAAAGCCCACTCGATGAAATAAAATTTCATCTTACACACAAACAAACAAATATCCTCTATGTAATATCGTTTTTATTAAATAGAGGATATTTGTTAAAGTTTAGTGTAAGATCGTAATTTCATGCATCTCAGACAGGTTTATCTACCGTTTACACCGGTGCTGGAAAACTCTGTCTTACACCCCCATGTAAGACAAGTCGCGTGCTTTAAATGACGTCATTGACGCGCGCCGTTTATGAATGAATCGCGTTCTTAGGATGACGTCATTTTTCCGTTATGAATGAAGTTGTATGTTCATACGCTACTATAAGAAAAAAGTGCGTAATGAGAATATCAGTTTTCATAATTTCTGTTCCGAAAATAATTGACAAGTAATATGCAAGAAAAAGAATCAAACACCGGCAATTGGTACAGACGGGAATATCTAGCTCTCGGGTAACTGTTTAGCGGAAACTCGGCAGAGCCTGCCTTAAACAGTTACCCTCGAGCTAGATATTCCGGTCTGTACCGGCAGCCGGTGTAAGATTCTTAAAATATTTCACCGAGTGAGCACCAAAAGGTATATTTCACTTTTGGTGTTCACAAGGTAAAATATATTTCGATCTTACACTAAACTAAACAAATTTTCTTTTTATTGTATGCAAAGAAACGTTTTAAGAGACAATAAACCTAATACTGAATGAAAAGCGCGCCAAATAATAATACAACGTGACGTCATTTACGACGTCACGTCATTAAGTTGGTACCCAGTACTGTGCACGCTGGTATTTCACTGAAACAACGTAAGGGGCTTAAGTTCAAAACAGTGAAATTATCAAAGTGGTAATTTCACTGTTTCAAACAGTGAAATTACCAGTTTTATTTCACTGATATATTTCTATAAACCACCGAAAAGCATGTAATAAATGACTTTATTACACTCCTGCGCCGCGGTTTATGTGATAAAGTGCAATTTTTACTGGATTCTGAAAATCCGTTCAGTTAAACATCTACGTTCTGAAATGTTCCAGTGCCTTAACATAGTGTACCTAAAATACTATGAAAATACCTTCAAAGATTGGATCCGGATACTGAAACTTTGAATATATGTTAGTGGTGAATACTTTGAGGGTACAAAAAAATCAGTGAAACATGAAGAATCAAATTTTACGTGCTAAACTTGCATTCATATTTGAACACTTCTCGTATTATATGTAACAAAATGACTGTAATTTTACAACAGGATACAGTGTCTGATTAAACATTTGATACACGTGATTTTTCTGCATGCCTCTAGATGAGCCAAATTATTTCAAGAAAATTTTAATTGGGTGGGGGGAAACGTACTAAGATTTTAAGAAAAGTAAAAATATTAAAGATTCAAGTGATAATATTTATCTTATGTGCGATTAATGACTGATTTTACACTATCTATCAACATAATTCTACTGCGTAAGTAGTTACTTACGCAGTAAGTAATATTTTTGCATATTTTGACCTCTTTTTTTTTTTTGGTAATTAACGTGGTTTGTAAGTGCTGATTTCAATGTAATTCGGATAAATCGGGAGGTGTGTTGCTTTTATTGTCAACAACAACAACTATAATACTTTTAAAATACAATATAATTATGGCAAATATAATTCATAATTTAGATCATTGTACACAATAAAAATATGATATTTCTATCATAGATAATGGTTAATTGAGTACACAATACAGTCCGAATACAGATACTAAACATGCATTTAACAAAAACAAAAACATTGATAATTGCTATTTTCGAGAATGCTCAAAATTATTATTATCATTATTATTATTATTATTATACCCCCCCCCACAACGAAGTTGTAAGGGGGGTATACTGGAATCAGCTTCTCCGTCCGGACTTCCGTCCGTCTCCCGCCCGTCCTACATAAAGATCAAAGAAAAAGCACATAAACCCCATATGTTGGCACGTCCGGCCGTCCGTCGGGTTTTCCTTGTCCGCCCAATAACTTAAGATTACTTTGACCCACAATCTTGATATTTGGTATTTAGATTGGTCATGGTTAGTAGATGATCCCTATTGACTTTGATGTCACCGGGTCAAAGGTCAAGATCACAGGGGCCTTGACTTCAAAAAGCTTGTCCACCCAATAACTTAAGATTCCTTTGACCCATAATCTTGATATTTGGTATTTAGATTGGTCATGGTTAGTAGATGACTCCTATTGACTTTGAGGTCCCAGATCAAAGGTCAAGATCACAGGGGCCTTGACTTTAAAAAGTTTGTCCGTCCAATATCTTAAGATTCCTTTGACCCAAAGTTTTTATATTTGGTATTTAGATTTGTCATGATAAGTAAATAATCCCTATTGACTTTAAGGTCACTGGGTCAAAGGTCAAGGTGAAAGGGGCATTGTCTTCATAAAGCTTGTCCGCCCAGTAACTTAAGATTCCTTTGTCCACAATTTTGATATTTGGTATTTAGATTGGTCATGACTAGTAGATGATCCCTTCAGATTTTGGTGTCACCGGGTCAAAGGTCAAGGTCACAGGGACCTTGACTTCAAAAAGCTTGTCGGTCCAATAACTTAAGATTCCTTTGACCCACAGTCTTCATATTTGGCATTGAGGTTGATCATGACCATTAGGTGACTCCTATTGATTTTGAAGTCATTGGGTCAAAGGTACAGGTCACAGGGGCCTCAGTGTCTATTCTAGGAGGGGCGATAGGGGGATTCGCCCATATTTTTGAGAATTCACCCCTATTTTTTTAGAGAGAGGGGGAAAATTTTATATAGACAAAGAAGGAAAAAGATCAACAAATGTAATAAATTCTCACTTTTCGATAAAAATCCCCCTGTTTTTCGAATCCTAGAATAAACACTGGGGCCTTGACTTAAAAAAGCTTGTCTGCTCAATTGCTTAAGAATGCTTTGGTCAACATTCTTCATATTTGGTATTACAGTTGTTTATGAATAGTAGATGACCCCTTTTGATTTTAGGTGACTGTGTCAAAGGTCAAGGTCACAGGGATTTTACTATAATAAGCTTGTCTGCTCAAATGCTTAAGAATTGATTATGAAATCCTTTCTACGGTCATTTGCACTGTTAATCTGCTCTGGCATGTACAGAAGTTTCAGTTCCTTGCGAAAGTAAAGGCAACTAGTACTGGTTTAAAACTGCTTGACAGCCTGCCCTGGAACGAGGCGGTGGTTGAACTGTGCTCTGATGTATTCAATGTGGCTTACTGTCGTGATCCGGAGTGAAAACTACAAACACCACTGCTTAAGAGTGCCTGTCCGCAGTGTATTGATTTTGATGTACGACAGTTTTACTTTTTCTTGAAAATGTCACCAAATTAGATTATATTAAAATATTTAATTTAAAAAAAACAAGATGAATATTTCATCCTGTTAGAATTTACAACAATTAATTGCAAGCCTTCTACATTTTACTTGTACGTTAGAATCTTTTAAATGTATAACATAAATTTTAACTTCCAATATCCATAACAATAGAATAATAATAAATTATATTTGGTCAGATGATCGGAAGATGTTTTATCATACTATGATAACAGTCAAGAGCTCATTGAATGACAGGAAATACATATAATGGCCAACTAGTGTGAGGGGGGGGGATAATCACGAGTGATGAATTATACAGTCAATATATCTTAATAACAGTTTAAACATATCCGTATTCATGTAATATTACGTTCAAAAATGGCGAGGCTAGGACTGATTCTTATATGTATGTTTTTATTTGAAATGTATCATTTTGAATCAAGCATTCACAAAAGTGTGTGTTTGGAGTTACAAGTAAATAAAACAATGAAACCTGTGTTTTGTCATGGAATGCTCAAGGAAATATGTGAAATGGTAAGAAATTATTCTCAAATTGAACGACTAACTGCGACATTAAATGATACAACACTATCAAAAGATGATTTTAACGGTTGTGAATCATTAAAGGAACTGTCACTGTCAAACAACAACTTGATACATCTGGAGAAAGATGTGTTATCAAACATGACAGAGCTTACATTACTGGATGTGAGTCACAACAAACTAGATATTTACAGGGAAGATACAGCTTATGAACTAACACTTCCAGTTAGTTTACGTACACTAAAACTGAATGGAAATATAAAATCAAATGTGAGCGTTGAGAAATTGAAGTATCCAATACTTTATCAATCAGGCGGATTACGATCGTTGTATATCGATGGTCTCCCAAACAAAGACGTGAATATTTTCAAAGACAATGTAATTTCACTTGAGGAACTGACAATGACATCAAAGTTAGGAAACTGTTGTATTCCGTATATCAAAGAAACAACATTTCAATCAGTACGCGCCAATTTGAAATTACTAAATATTTCCGAGTGTATGATAAAAAAGTTTGAATTCGGTGCTCTCAGAGGTCTCAAAAAGTTAGAAGTACTTGATTTGTCTAATAACACAGAGTTAGGTTTTACAGCACTGGAGAACATCTCCTTTGGTCTGCAATTTACGAATATCAAGGTTTTTAATTACTCCCACGTGCACAGACCTTTTGGAAAATCGGTGACAGTGAGGAAGCGTGATTTATGTTACCTGTTTAACACAACATTAGACGAGTTTGCCGTTGAAGGAAATAGGATTGACATGTTCGAATCGAACTCCTTCCTTTTATTGCCTTCAAATATAACTACCTTTCGCATAGGACGCAATAGGCTTTCCATTGGATTGTACATTATTCAATTAGGATGTATATCAAGTTTGATAAACTTGCATACTGGATACCTGGACACATTTGGCCAGGTGAAAGATTATACTTTATCTCCACAATTTCTTGGTTATATATCTAGTCACGAGGATGATTGTTACGATAATAAGCCGTCTAATTGTCCTTTCATGGCGGACGACTTCCTTAATCGCACTGCTTCATCACGACAACAATTAACATGCACGTTTTATAATGGACATAATAATCCAGTATCCCTACCAAAGAATATTAAAAACATACATGCACCCCAATGTGGATATGTCTCAGCACTGATATCTATTATTAATATTGTTCATAGCCGATTGTTTCGTGGCTTCTTTCAGATAGAAAGACTTGACTTATCTAGAAACCGCATCTACAACGTTACTGTTGAATTCATTAAAGCACGCCATTTAAAATACCTAGATCTATCAGAAAATCGATGTGAACATATGGATATTCGTACAGGAATTACAGTTCCAAATCTAGAAGAACTTCAAATTCAAAATAATCTTTTAGGACCATCTTTGGAAGACCGACAATTTGAAACATTTCCTAACCTTAAAGTGCTGAACCTTTCCGATAACTTAATACAAGATCTTCCAAAGAATGTGTTCATGAACATGACTAATTTAAAAATTCTTGATCTTAGTAGTAATAAAATACAAGAATGGACTGCAAATATAGATTCACTGAAATCTTTAATTCACTTAAACTTAAGTCATAACGTTTTGAGTTCCCTACCTTCTTCATTAATGAATCACTTTGACAAAATGGGACACAATTTTTCGATAGACCTGCGAAATAATACACTAAAATATTCCTGTAATAACGAGGATTTTCTTCTCTGGATTGTTAAACACAAAAAAAATATTGTGGGATATGAAACATTTACGTTTTCTGATACCCTTACATTTGATGACGTCGAAAAGCAAATTGCCAAACTGAATAGGTCTTGCAATGCCTACACAGCCCCAATAGCCATCTCGTCTGTTTTTATCACAATATTCTTTCTGGTTGTTATTGGAAGACTTGTATATAGAAACCGTTGGCAAATACGATATTTCGTTTATATGACGAAGCGAAGATATTTTTCAATCAATATTTTACCAGACGAAGACGTGGATGGGATGTACAAATATGGAGTTTTTATATCATATGCTGAGGACAACAATCAGTTCATATCCGACCAGCTTGTTCCAAATCTAGAGCAACATGGTCTGTCACTCTGCATCCATCAAAGAGACTTTGTCGCTGGAAGGTCCATCATCGACAATATAATTAGCGCAGTCCAGAGCAGTAAGATTACGTTGGTCATATTGAGCCGGGAGTTTATCAATAGTAAATGGTGTATGTATGAATTCCAAATGGCAAGAATGGAGAGCATTTATACACGTGCTGATAATAATTGTCTTTTAATTGTAATGAAAGACAACATTCCAATAGAGGACATGCCGTTAGAAATGATGAACTGGATCCGGTATGAGTCTTATTTAGAGTATTCGGAAGACGTTGCTGGTGAGCAGTTGTTTTGGGAAAGGCTGAAAGAAACATTAAATATTAAGTAAATATTGTAGTAATTCGAACAAGGTCGACAAATCATTACATGCTTACTATGGGTGATTGTAATAAATCATCGTCTGTCCAACTATCAATAAGTGAGGTTATATTATTCATACACAAACGATTTGATACTTCGGTGATCCATTTCCAAGTTGGAAGTTCCAGAATCAATTCTTTGTGTTTAAATTCATTGCCGATTACTTGATGATCTTGTTTTTCACATACATATATTGAAAAGAGGATTATCTTCATTCTGAAAGTCATATTACAGGCAAATAATTAGTCCAAATACAGTCACCATTGCCTGTGCAATTTTAATTTGTCAAACACGATATAGTTTACATAGGTGATGAGATCTATGTCCATATATGTGTATAGTAGAAAAGCATTGAACATTCATCTTGCAAAAAGATCTTTGCCAAGAAACGACTACTGATTACAACAGAGGAGAACAAAGATCAACAAGGACGAGGAATTCAGGAACACAGAACCACCGATACGGAACCCAGTAGGACACCGAACTAAAACAGAAAAAGACGCTAGAACGAAATAAAAGCGGGTATTCTTGGCAACATTTAAAACTTCATCTTTAATATAGCATGATAGAACCGACAGACTGTCAACGAAAATAGATGCTTTGCTATATATTGGACATTACAATTTTATTTGCTTTGAAATGTTGGTCTTATTTTATTTCATGTAAATTCTTAATATTACTGTTTTTGTGTGAGCAATTTAATATGTAAAAACAATGACTGCTAGTAGAATGGTATTTTTCCTAATTGTATCTTGAAAAAAAATCATACCCCCCCCCCCCTGATCTGACTTTGGTAAACGTATTGACACTAGTGTAATCCGTGAAGGTAAATTCAAAAACGTCATACATTTTGTATTAATTCAGCAATTATCTGGGGGTTTTTTTTCAAGGTGCTTTATAATTAAAATTATAATGAACTTGTAAAATGCGTTTAAGATTCCTTTCTCAGTGTAATTTTGCTTGTAAAATGTGTGTACATGTCTTTAACAATTCCTCCTTTTGTGTGTTGCCATTTTCAAATATATTCAGAAACTTGTTTTAAGACAGTTTTTATATTTATACGACACCCTACGTTGAAAAATACCCTCGTTCAACGGGATTATAACTTTAAGAAATGTAGAATAGATATAATGCTTAATGTTTGGTTACCAACAAGCTTTTAATGAATGAGATTAATGAAACCGAGGATCACCATTCTTTCAGATTTCCATACGTCATTTTGAAGTCAACAATAATTCATGAATTACATTTGAAATTGTTTAGTGAAATTCCACACCGTAAAAGAAACTGTGTTTAAGATTTAATGACGGAAAGCTTAGAGTCTCTTGTTGAAAGGTAAGGTCTTTAGATGAACCTATAACAATCTGGATAAAGGGCGATCCCTCGGAAGCATTAATCACAACAAAATTACATGAAAATTACAAACTCCGTTTGATTGAGTCTGTACATGCGGTATAATGAAAAAAATGCAATATTCCTCACGTCCCCTAGCACCGGCTTAAGCGGTTCTCGATTTTCAACACTTAAAAGTGAAAGCAATGATCCCGAAGAACCAGACAAAAACAATACTGAAGTGAAGAACGGGGCAACTATTTACAGCTGCCTCACGGCACTTCCCACCTGCTGTTGTGATGTATAAAGATCTGGAGAAAGGATGACCCCTAGGAAGCATTAATCACAACAAAATTACACGAAAATTGCAGACTCGGTTTGATTGAGATGTACATGAGGGATATTTAAAAAGTGCAACATCCATCACGTTCCCAAGCACCGGCTAAACAAGAGACAAGAAAGCTGCACGAGGTCGGTGTTTCTAGATTTTGTTGGGGATGCGTTCATCGGGTGTCGCTCTTCCTGATATTGTGTGCCTTTGTCCGCGCCAATACGTTTTTCGCGCAGCACACACTAAACTGCTCCCAGCTCATGAGATATTTTCTATATAAAGCATAATAATTTTGTACAATTAAACCAAGCTTAACACTGTTCTGTGGCGCTGCAGCGTCTTTTTCATCGCTGTTGTACGTACTTCTGTATCCGAGGATAACACGTGTGTTTGTTCTGCAGCGCCTAGCAATCATCTTAGAAAACCTATGTCGTTACGCAAGGAATCGGTTTAAAGATTAAAGCGATATTAGACACAAGCGAGCATATACAATTCAATGTGTACCCTGTCTTGTGATTCAATACAATTCAATGTGTACCCTGTCTTGCGAACCTATGCAATTTAATGTGAACCCTGTCATGCAAACCTATACATTTCAATATGTCCCTGTCTGGGGATTACAAGCATGTGCTACTTCCGAACATTGTATCTTTCTTGGGAGCCTAAATATTTTAACTTGAACCTTTCTAGTGATATAACAGGAAGTACCATTTTTAATGAAGGGATTTTAGTCATCAAAGAAGTAGCTATATTCAAATAAAACGGTCCATTGACTATGTTAAAGTAAGCTTCGAAACAATAACAAAAAGCATTACGAACAAAAAGTCTTAACACTATGTAAATAGAAGTAATGCACTGTGTTAAAAATTTCACCTTCAGAAAAGCAGAGAGCCTCTTTATCTGACGGCCAACAAATGCAGTTTTCAGGACATCTCTATATGTCTTTCTAATTGCTTGACAGAAGGAAAACATGATCGTCATAATAAATCAAAGCACTGAAAGTACTGAAGTATACATTGCTTGATAATATAATCCATTTTTGTCATCAAGGCCATGTTGATTTCAACCTACTGACCTCGAAAACAATAGGGGTCATATTCTGACCAAGGTCAATGTCCCTAACAAGTGACTCACATGCACCAAGGCTTTTTTCTTATTCTAAATTTAGTTATTTATGAGACAAGGAAGATGTGATGTTCCATATGTGTATTGCTAGGCAAGCTGATAGATGAGCAATGAAGAAATCTTTTTTTGAAACACCCGTTAAATGGACTGCAGTATAGAATATTGAAACAGTCATATTGAGTTTCCAGTGATGCTATCTAATAAAATACATGATCTGGCTTGAACTCTATACAAAGTCAATTAATTGAATCATCCTACAAGACCTAATTACCAAATTATAGTACATCTATGTACTGTACTTTGATGCATTAATACATATATTCTGGTGTGTTGTATTAATCTCTACACATTAATTTTCAAATGCATTACTTTATCGTTTATTAATAAAAATGAAATCTATAATCAAAACAATTCAAATGTACTGTAATATTTTCATTCTTCAATAATTGTTACATATAGTCTTCATATATAACCTTTCCAAGAAATTCATTTATATTGGACAGCAAGTTAAGAAGGTTTTTTTTCCCATAACCAGGCTGTGTTACCAACTTCTTAACTTTAGATGAATTATTGAGCTAAACATTTTTTCTATTTTTTGGCTACTGTGACTTGCTTCTGATTTTCAACCAAGGTGATCCATGTTCAAACTCGAGCAAAACCTGTCACACACATTCTTACGATGTTGTGTGACAACTGGGGCAAAAGTGTGACCAGTAAAGTGTTAACAAACTAAATGACCAGCAGATTGTTAACAACTGTAATGTCATCGTCGGATACACATGGTTGATTAACATTTAACATGACATAACTGATAAATGTAAATGGTTCGGCCGTGGGTATCCGACGATGCTAAATGTGGACAGACCACAGTTGACATATTAAGATGGATGGCCGACATTCAACAATCTAAAACCTCACCCTGAGCCAACCTATAAGTTTCACCACTGAAATAAATAATAAGATACTGCGTAATGATTAAGTAAATTATTGCTTTTCTATATATGTTCTTTACTCTATTGTAACTACGCAAGTTCATATAGCATATAAATATAAAACGACTGCTCGATTAGTTTTTACTATAAACAAATAAAAAGTAAAAGTTAATTATTTAAACGATTGAAAAGTCTAATTTTATTGATGTTTTTATTCATATACCTTTCTTATCGCGAGTCCAATGTGGTTTTCGGCTTTCCCGTGTTTTTAACGCTGACTGTTACATAGCCGAAAAAAACACAAGTTTTTCATACTGTACTTATTACAAAAAATAACTGACATTTTACAAAGGTAATAAATTTTATGTAATAGTTATTCATTTAAACGGTTGAAAAATGTATTTAGCAGCACTTTTTTAAATATATCTATTTTATCGCAAGTAAAATGTGTTGTTTGTTTGTTTGTTTTTTGTTTTTTTTTGTTTTTTTGCTTTTCTATGTTTTTGACGCTAGGCAGTAACATAGCCGAAAAACACTTTCATACAATGTTTATTACAAAAATATTACTGATATTGCTTACAAATATAATGTTATAATCATTTATTTAGACGGTTGAAAAATTTATTTAATAATTCTAATTTTAAAAATGTCCATTTCATCGCCAGTAAAATGTGTTTTTTTTTTTTTTTGGCTTTTCCATGTTTTTACCGTTACGTAAACGAAAAACACTTTCATACTGTATTTATAAAAATAATATCACTGCCATTTTCCATTGGTAACAAAAGAAAGTAATAGTTATTCATTTAAAAAAGGTTGAAAAAAAAAATAATAGCGGCTCTTGTTTTAATTATGACTATTTTAACGCCCGTAAAAAAATGTGTGTGTTTTTTTTTTTTTTGGCTTTTCCATGTTTTTTGAAGCTAGACTGTTACTTTGCTGAAAAACACTTTCATATCGCATTAAATACAGAATAGAATCATTCTCTAATTTACACTGGTTGCAAAAAGAAAGTAAATTTTAATCATTTAAAGGATAGAAAAAAGTAGATAAAACTAATTTTGTTGGAATTTTACCAATTGTATCGCCGTAAAAAGTGTTTTTCGGCTTATCCATATTTTTTAAGCTTACCCGTTGAGTTTCCAAAAACATTTTTATAGTGTGTTCTTTTCAATATAATGCTGACAACTGATAAATTTATTGATTGGAATTGTGAAAAACAATTTTCTCTAGTGATTAAAATGGAAATTAGCATATTTTTTTTTTGCCTGTGACATGTGTTTTTCGGCTTTTCTATGTGCGACGCAGGCTCATCGAATACATTCATCAGCGTATTTTATGATATATCATCGATTTAAAACTGATATTGAACCCATTTCATCAAAAAAACATCAAAAATTGTTTATATTGCTGAATTTAATCACAGCCTAAATATTTTTTTTTTGTATTTTAAGTGTTTTTCGGTATTTTTTGGTGTTTTTCGGTTTTTCGGTGTTTTTCGGCAATTCCATGCACCCATTAATATAAGCAGATTAAAATAATTCCTATTTTCTAAACATAAATTTAATGCATTTATTCCTTAATGCTTACACTGATTTACAGTTAGTTTCAAATGATTATTTCTTATCGTCGAATCTGGCCACATATGCCTATATATATATTTAGCTCCATGCTCTGGCAATCACCACTGAATTTCGAAACATATTTCTTTTCAAAAATCTAAGGCATACAAAAGTGAAAGGAAAATCATGTGTAAAAAAGGTATTCAAAAGAATAGCTTACGGAATTTCTATTTTTCGAAGCCACGATAATTGCCAGGTTTTTAAAAAACAAAAACAAAAAAAAAACATTTTCCGGTATACGCTGATAAATTTTGTTACGGAGCTCCATACTCATTTTGTAAAACATTTTAGGGCAATTTAATTGCATAAATGTAAATTAGGAATTTTATTTGATTAAATATCTATCTGAGATGTTTCGTCCCATTTATATAATTCTGACGACCTTACTATATTTACGATGTATTCATTCATGCTAGCAAGCGCATGCGTATATGCGAAGTTTAACGCGTAGGTGTAAACTACGATTTTATCAATGAACTGTTATTTTTTGTTTTCTTTAAAGGAATGTAGAGTCTATTATTTCATGAAAATGAACGATTTGGAACTTTCAAAACATTTAAACAACTTTGCAAACACTATTTTAATGATGTGTAGTCGGAATGTAACGCTACTGCAGAATGAAGAACTAGTTTCTATAGCGGTTTTTATCCGGGAGTGGATGTTGTTCGGTAATGCATTAAACCTGTAACGATTTCTGAGATAAGGCTTATAACTCTGTATACATTGAAAGCAATGTATACAAAAATGCAAAAGGATAAGAGTGACGGGGAAAGGGCCAGAAGGACAGGTTAGGGGAAGGGTAAAATTGAAGAAAAAAATCTTTGGGCCTCCCCCTACATGTATTGTTACAGTGAACACATCTGCGCATGTTTCTAAATTCAAAATTTCACCATTTTGCACGTGTAAATGGTGGATTTTACATAAACCGGTAATCGGTGGCGTGGATGGAAACCTACATTTTCCAGTACCGTCCATGAACAGGCTCAAACAAATAGAATAGAGAAAACAGAATACCTAAAGAAAGGCCAACACGGCAAAATTGAAAATGTTGCAGGCTCGGTTACCTGAGCCGGTTTATGTACCGTCCACGGCCCCTAGCAACCCAATCCTGCAACATTTTTAATTATGACGTTTTGGGCGTTCTTTAGGGATTCATTTTTTCTCTCTCTATTTTAGTACTATTTAATTGTGTTTAAAACTCTTTTCAGTTTTTCTACTCCTCTATGAATGATAATGCAGTACAAAATATACACATTATACATAGACATGTACATGTATAAAAAAATGCTATTTATTTCATCAGTTCCAAAAGAAATAGTTTTGTTAATAACACAAGGGACAGGACGTGAAGTGGTTGCACACTTGGTTCAATCTTGACAAAATGGCTACCGATCGAGTCATGGGTATTATAATATTATAACGCACGCACGTATATCTCCAAGTAAGTGGATTTGTATGTTAAAATTGTTAAATATGCCCATTAATTAAAGCAATGTTAAAGACACGTTCGGTTTTAGGTTTCTTCTTCCCAACTTCTGATTTGACGAAGATATAAACTGGTCATCTACATATTTTATGATTTAACAAGTGACTATTTTGGTCGGTTTTTTTCCAACTCCTTAGTTTTGAAGCTCATCAAACAAGACAAAATATGTTTCTGTCAATACTATATAAATGTCCAAAATAAAACTGCAAGCATTTCTGGTCAACGATATTGCATATAACTACATGGATGCAAATTAATGAAATAATTATTCGTAAAATCTCGGTATTAAGTTTAATAATAATCAAAATATAACAACACGCTAATTTCAACTTCTGGTGGGCATATTTAGAATTTGTACAGTTTCTGGTGGGAATGTTAGTTTGTATCAATAATTATTTCATTTTTTATTTAAATTGAAAATTAATTTTGACAAGATTCATGAAAAATAAACATGAACTGAAATGAATGCTATTTCTTAGAAATAATTAAAAGGAAAAAAGAAATCAAGATTAGTGCATTTGAATGGATAAATATATGATAATATCCGTCAAAGATAAATAATAATAATAATAATAATAATAATAATAATAATAATAGAAGTAACGGCAAATAAAGTAAGAGTTAAATAAGAAATTGCTGATATACGAAACTTCTTGTGCTTCTGAATCTATATTTTCACCGAGTAGCATCAGAAACTGTTCTTCATTACTCGACAACGTCCTTGCGTTGCAATGTTTAAGATGAAAGATTATTCAGCAATTTTGCTTATAATGACATTTTTCTTCCACAACTCAATCACTTTCATTTCGTACCTGATTTATGATATTCTTTCTCGTGCAACTTCAGTTAAGCTATCTGATAACGTCACATTAAATTATTTAATCTATTTTCCGTAATGTGTTTTTTTTTTTGCTTTCTTGAGCTAAGAAACAAGCAATTAAAAGAAAAGCGCTCGTGTATTATGGTTGTAAAACAGGAGATATAACAGACAAAGATCAACAAGGCACAGCGACGTCCACAGAATGCAACCCTCGGCAAATTACAGGCACACTGTGCACCCCATCGCAAAGGCAACAATTAAGTAGGACCCCGATCAAAAAAGAATGAGAGAGAACAAAAGGCAGGACATGAAGTGGTCGTACCAATAAATGATAACAATTGACAACAAAATAAAGAAACACCGAAAATGTCAAAGCCATATAAAATCATTTATAAAAGCAAGTAAACTAGCACAAATGTATAAAATTGTGAAGGAAATATCTGCATCTCCCTCGAATCTTTTTGCAGTTTTAATATTTGAGCCGTGTCATGACTAAACCAACATAGTGGGTTTGCGACCAGCATGGATCCAGACCAGCCTGCGCCTCCGCGCAGTCTGATCAGGATCCATGCCGTTCGCTTACCAACTCTATTACAAGTAGAGAAACTAATAGCGAACAGCATGGGTCCTGATCAGACTGCGCGGATGCGCAGGCTGGTCTGGATCCATGCTGGTCGCAAACCATTATGTTGGTTTTGTCGTGACGCGGCTCATTTATTTCAAAAGTAATAGAAATATTCGTTACTTCATTTTAAAAAGGTTTCTTTTTGTTTTAATTAAATAATTTGTTTTGTTAATCGCTCAGTACGAGTTAAGTTAAACTAAAGTAAAACGTGTCACTATGCACAGGGCGCACGAGCTAATCAGATCTACCTGTATTTTTAAAAATATTTAAATATATTTCGTTCTGCCTGGGACTTTGTCATTTTAAGTACTCCGGCCCAGGTACTGTTGTTTGCAGACAATGACTATGTCATATGAAAAAAGATAAGACAGCAATCGCAGTATGTACAAATCTTAGGCAATTTTTCTGCAGATCGATCGTGTATAAGTAAGGGGGTCTAGATCTTGAATCTACAATTGAGAAAATTCTTGAATCTACAATTGATAAAACACCTAATGAAAACATTAGACCGCAACAAAAATCATTACAAAAAGGGACACGATTTGCATCGACATAGCCGTGCGACGGGATATTTTGCGCACGGTCAAAGGGGATAAACTCCGTCCGTAATAGATACTCTTCTTGTAGGAGTTATTTGCTTTAACTTCCGGGGAAATTTTGTTAAGCCTGAAAACTTTATTACATGGACAATTATTGTTCTTTTATGGCTTAAATCAATTTAAATTTAACATTCACAGACAATAGAAACATTCTTCGTCGCACAGGTGAGTTGGTTTTCCTTTTAAAGACGCATAGACATGCATATCCGGGTCATAGCATATGCGCAGATAGTCCCAGACAGTCGAGGTCAAGTTTTCTTCTGCGGAATGTACATGATGGAGTTTGTATATGCAGGACATATATAGACTATACATGATATTTACCCCATTTTCGTGTATATTTCTGGGGTTTAGGGATCTGCTATCGTTACAATTGTGAGCAGTGAACCTTCTGGATTTAAACGACAGGTAGGAATAGGGACAGAAGTTTAATAATTGTTCAACACATGTGTTTTAATTGGGCGGGGGTTTAGCATAGTGAATCTGGGATAAAATGTGTATATGACCTTCACCAGTTGCACAATTGTCAATATAGTCTGGCTATTCAATACATTAGCGGGTTGTGTGCAGTGTCGCGCTCAGTTACTCATTGTATTGAAGTTTAACAGCTTTTGGGCGTATTTGAAAAGGCATTTTAATTGAATTTTGTGATGAAAACTGAAGTTCTATTCAATCAGCATGTATATAATTGATGTTTTAATACATTGATTTCAGAAAACACTTTAGAAATTTAGGTCAAACATTTATGACGAACAAAATGCCCAAGATAATTATAAATGTATATGAAAATTAAATCAATTAGTGAATAACCTATTTAGTTAATGGTAGTGTATTTCCAAATGAGGACAAAATAAATTGCTTTCCGGAACAGAAAGTAGATGTAGACATGTCTAAAAATTGTTTAAATGTTTAAAAAGTTTTTAAAAGTTGTGTGTGTTGAAGTTTTTGTAATGATTGCCACAGGTAGTACACCTAGTCATATCAGACACTGACAGTCAGTTAGTAATTGTAATTAATAACTAATTTAGGCAAAAATTTCATCAAGAGTTTAAATATTTTAAGATGATCAGGTTTTGATTTTGCAAGCAGGTAAAGTAACAAGGGGTGATCATGTTGAACTACCCACAGTGGTGTGCAAATCATACAGTGTGAAACAATATGCTTACATTGTCAAATAACTTGACTGTCACTAATTGTAATTTACTAATTAAGGCAAAAATTTCATCAAGAGTTTAAATATTTCAAGATGATAAGGTTTTGATTTTGCAAGCAAGTAAAGTAACAAGGGGTGATCATGTTGAACTACCCACAGTGGTGTGCAAATCATACAGTGTGAAACAATATGCTTACATTGTCAAATAACTAAGTACTTTATTGATAATGTTAACACACAGGTTAACCTGGCCCAAAGACAATTTAGGTCAAGTTAACCCTATCCCAATTTATTATTTTGAGCTTATGTTTACAGGGTTTTCATTATTAACAGATTGGCGATACATAACATCATTTGAAATGCTGTTAAAATTAGTTGTATTTTCAGCTTTTCCCATTGACCCATGGCCAAGCCTGATATAAAAATGAAAACCCTGTGTATGTATTTACAGTATTGTATTTGTTATTATATTAATAATAGACCTACATATAGTATACATGTAAATTGGGGTTTATATTATTATATTAATTATATACAGGAACTTATATTTTTCTGCATGGGAATACACATTGTAAGTTAAATAAAGATTAAAAAACAAAAAGAATTAATAAAACATTAAATTGATTGAGTTGAGTGTTCTGATGTCTGTCTGTTTTATTGATGTAAGTTCTGTTTTATAACATTGACAATTGTAGACAATATGCTTTCGGGGCCAAACAACCCTTCTTTGTAGAGGTCGAATATAGGCTGCTTCCCCAACCAAACTAGTCTCTTTTTTTCCCCAGTTTGACCCTCAAAATTCCCCAGTCTTTTGAAATTTCTGTAGAATTTAGAACAAAATTAAATGATGGTGTTGACTTAAGGTCTTTTACTGCCTTATTAGTATTTCCCACTGGTGCTTTTTGCTTTTCTATTTTGGAGAACATATTAAAATTTTGTGTTAAATTTGAAACCCCTTTTCCCAAAGTATGCCAAAATCACGCATATTTTCCTCAAGAAAGAGGCTGAGGCCCCTTCCCCAAAAATGGTGTTTTGGCCCTGGCTTTAGTTTCAATGTTTGTTGGTCATCATTAATCTCAGTCAAGGAATTTAGGAGCAGAAACTATGAAGCCGTTTGGTTGGCAATATCTACCAGCACTATTAGGTTTTTACAAGCCAAAAAATATAAAACTTTGAAAGTGAAAATTTAAATTAAGAATAATGACTAACACATGTATTTATTTTGTAATTCTTATTCCTGAATAGAGAACAAATTAGCTGTTCTATTTGAAATTCGGTTACTTCAGTTTCGCAAAGTAAGGTGATGGATCACAGGGGCAATATCGGTGTTTGGCCACTCCACCCTACCCTGCCCCTGGACCCCTACTACAACCCTGAAAAAAGTAATCCAACACTCTTTGGCTTTCTATAAGATACCAAATACAAAATTTGATAGTGGAAAATTTATGCTTCCCGAAGGGTGAGCATATAGTCGCCGCTTTGTCTGTCTGAAATGGCCCTTTAGCCCTATTTGGTCGGATGTCTGTCCGCTCTCACGGGACAGTAATAATGTGGCTAGAACTGTTCTTTCTCTTTGATGTCATTCATTCTGTATTACTGTCCTGTTAGAACGTCTGTCCGCTATTCTTGTCCGGGACATAACTTTGAAACAACATCAGTTATCAACATGAAACTTTGTAGGTGAATAGTTTTCATTGTGTAGAAGAACCATAACTCTGTCTTGCCTAATTTTGGAGTTATTGCCCTTAGTTCATTTTTACACTTTGAACTTTGTCCGGGACATAACTCTAAAACTGTAAGAGATATCAACATGAAACTTTGTAGATAGATAGATCTCATTGAGTAGAAGTGCAGTGCAAAAGAACCATAACTCTGTCTTGCCTAATTTTGGAGTTATTGCCCACTGTTCATTTTTACACTTTGAACTTTGACTGGGACATAACTCTAAAACGATAAGAGATGTCACTGTGAAACTTTGTAGGAAGATAGATCTCTTTAAGTAGAAGTGCAGTGTTAAGAACCATAACTCTATCTTGCCTAATTTTGGAGTTATTGCCCTTTGTTCATTTTAACACTTTGAACTTTGTCCGGGACATAATTCTTAGATTATAAGAGATATCAACATGAAACATTGTAGGTAGATAGATCTCATTGAGTAGAAGTGCAGTGCAAAAGAACCATAACTCTGTTAAGCCTCATATTTGAATTGTCTCCCCTTTTAGAAAAATCTTGTCCAGGACATAGCTGTAAAACTATAAGAGATATCAACATGAAACTTTGTATGTACATAGATCTCATTAAGTAGAAGTGCAGTATAAAAGAACAATAACTCTGTTTTGTTCCATTTTTGAATTATAAGAGATATCAACAAGAAACTTTGTAGGTTGATAGATTGCCTTGCCTAATAGTAATTATTGCACTTTCAACTTTTTCCAGGGACATAACTCTGAAACTTAGAGGTGTACTGTCCTGTGTCCAAAACCTATTATGGAGCATCACCCGGCTGTTGTTCTTTAACATTTGTTTAAACCGTTACTTGTTTGCTTTAGAAAAAGTAAAAAAAGTTGAGTTTTGCCCCTGCTTGAAGGTGGCTCTTGTTTCCTTTTCATGTTGAGCTAAATTGTTTTGCTTTTTTTTTTTTTTTTTCAAAAGACTGACTATTACAATGGTGGCCAATATTTGATAATGAAAAAATGTTTATGATGAAATAAAATTGCCAACATTTCAAAAAGACTGCCCCACTCTTTCATCATTTTAACATTACTGATATATTTCAAAGATATTTATAGAATTTTCTGTAAGTAACATGGGATATTGCTGATACAATGTACATGTGAAGTAGAATATAAAATTGTAAACAATTATGGTAAAATGTTACGTATTTTGACTTTTACCTGTACCCCCACCACTTACACTTAGATGGGTATGATGCCACTTTAATGTTAGATAAATTTTTAGTTCGACTATTCGCAGAAATAATCAAGCTAAGGCAGTCACCCATTTGTTGGCTTTGGCGTCCCTGTTGTAAAGTTTTTACAAGTAACATGGTATCTCTATAACTACTGAAGGGAATGGATTGAAACTTCACACACTTGTTCTCTGTGATTATGTAACATGATTGGCACAAGTCACATAACTCTGATTTAATTTTTGCATAATTAAGCCCCTTTTTCGACTTAGAAATGCTTGGTTAAGTTTTTGCATGTAAGCTGATATTTCCATAACTACTGAAGGGTTTGTGACAATTTTATGTATTCATAATAATCAGGCAGTGATTTACTCGATCAACATCTTAATAAGTTAAATAACAAGCCTTTGTACCTTTTGGACAATTTTATGTATTCATAGGTAAGCATTATTATACCTAATGAAACACCCTTGTGACCACCTTTTCGATTGTCAAGAGTCGCTGTCCTCTGACAGCTCTTGTTTAATATATAATGATTATAGTAATATTTTTCTAAATAGCTGGTTTTTTGGCGGTTTTCTTTCAGTAAATTTTGTGTTACATATTCACAAACATTTTTCTTTGTGCTATTTCTATACTGTTTTCTTTTTACATGTTTTTGTCTATTTATACTTTTCAGAGATGTTACATACAACTTTTTAGTGTGTTTTACGTCTACAATAACATGCTTAATATCAGTTAACACGGTGATATTTGTTTTTTTCTACTTTCTGTTTCAGGTATACACGAAATTACCAATAAAGATAACTCCTGCCAGACAAGAGAGTAAGAACTTAAAGGAGTTACTTCCCTTAGATACAGCAATACACTCTAATGTGATACTAAAAATAACTCTGTGATAATAGTTGTTTTATTCCTTTTTATTTTGGTGCTAAATTTCTGTTACACATTAAAAAATTTCTCCTTTTGAAAAAAAAAAAATTGTGTTGTGGAGTTAGAAAAAAAACAACACAAGGGTAGAACGAGAGAAAAAAATTCAAATATTACGATTAATAAAATCCGACAAAGATCTGTAACTGTTGAAAGAACTTGACGTTAGAATTTTTACATCAGAATTACCTCATTATATATACTGTTGAAAAAAACTTTTTTGCAATTTTCTTGAAAATGCCTTACAATGTTGAATTTTCTTTGAACTGTACTGTGACAAAATGTTCCGACTTTGAGCCAAGAAATGCCGGTTGATTTTATCGTATGAACTCTTAGTGCATGTTAATGCTAGAACATGGAAACAGCTACAACTTTGAAAGAGGAAACAGATCTTGCGACCCAATTAGCTCTGGCAGGAGTGTCTAGTCCTGTATGGTCCCAGGGGGCGCCTCTGTCGGCTCCACAAGCACACATGTCGATGGCATCGTTAGCGTCTGATTCGCTGCAGATCAGTGCAGCTCCACCTCCTGCACACGCCCACCCATCGTCGACCAATCCTAAACCACCGGATTCTCTTTTTGATAAAAGTAAGCATAAATACTAGAATTGTACTTGTATTTGGTAAGAGTTTTGGTCGCTTTAAAATATTTAAGAGTAATATTTACAAGTCAGTTTTTTTTCCAGGATTTTTGAAACAGGGAATTGGGAATATCAAATGCATGACTGAAATTTTGCAGTGATTAAATGAATGCAAAGGATCACTGTATAGGATGACATCTTTAAACATTTAACTATAACAGTGAAGACTTAGCCCTTATTTTCAAAGATTTTAGAACTTTGTTATCAATATTTTTATTTTGTAAATTTTAATTGGGAATTGGGAAAAAAATATACTTTTTAATCACTGCAAATTCAAGTCATGCATTTATTTTCCCAATTTATAACAAAACATTGCTGAAATTCCTAATTCCATGGGTGTGGGTCATGTTCCCAAAATCATGGGGAAAAAATCTTGATTGTTAAGAATTATGTATACAATATAGGGATAAAGACAAAACTATGTTTAATAAGAGGGATTGGGACTGATTTTCGGCTCTAAAGTTTGCCAAACTAGAGTTGAGATGGACTGACCGCCGAGATATGTTCAAAATGGTGTTTTTGTGTAAAAATGATATATGTACAAACATGTTAATTTATATTTTATTGTTAATTTATATTTTATTTCGGATAACTTTTACTATTTTGTAGATCTTCTCGAAGCTGCGGCATTTCTGGATAGTAAAGGAATGTCGTTACCAGGTAAACCGGCAGAGTCAACATCTTCATCGGACAGCCAAAATTCCATCCCTTGGGCCATACAGCAGCAGTTGCTACAACAGTATGGACAGTTTATGCTGGAGAAAATGTTAAACAAACAGAATGAGGCTGGTAGCACGGCAACCGCAACCGTGACAACGGATGGTGGTAAGTCTTATTATTTGTCAGTGATAATTGTAACCCTAAACCTACTGAATTTCTATTATGGACTTGCCCTGATATAGGATTTGGAACAGTCCATTTGAATTTTTAGTGATTTCATTTACAAGATACAAAAAAAATTGAGCTACCAACAGTACAGGGCCTGGTCAAATGGAATGTGGCATGGATATGCAAGCTGGCCTCACAGTTTTCCTTGTGGCAAAGGCATATCACTTTACAATCCAACAGATTCAGGCATTTTTTATGCTCGAACCACTTTTAGGGAGGTGCATCATCCTTCAAACTGTCCCACTGCACGTAGACTGACAAAACAGTGGGATATGGGGTCAGTGTTGGCGTATGGACACATTTCTAGTTTTATCATTGTTTGACAAAATTCGCCAACAATAGAGAGTCTGCCAAGGACTTAACTGTTTTTTAACATGAAAATAGGACCTTCAGAAATCACTGAAATGTGAAACATTTTGTATACCTTTGTCAATGTAAAATTAATAATTTAAGTTTGCTTTCAAAATGATATCAAGTAAAATGTAATCTTTGTTTAAATCCATCGAGGGTTTGAACTTTTCCAATAAAATAATACCTCGAATAATAAGGCATAGCTTTCAGAAAGTTTAATGATATTCATTAGTTTGTATTTTATATACCATCTAGAAATAAAGTGAATTGTACTCAGTAATTAGTTTTATTGATCAAGTGTGGTACGAGAATATAGGGTTTTTTCCAGGATTTTGGGAATATGATCCATACCAATGGAATTGGGAATCTCAGCAATGTTTTGTTAAAAATTGGAAAAATGCATGACTTTGCAGTGATTAAATGAATGCAAAGAATCACTTTCTAGGATGGCATCTTCAAACATTTAAGCACCATAACAGTGAAGAAGCCCTTATTTTCAAAGATTTTAGAATTTGTTTTTCAATATTTTTATGTTGTAACTTTCAATTGGGAATTTTTCCTTTGGGTTGGGAAAATAATATATTATTTTCAATTGAGAAATATGACCGAATATCGGCTATAAAATAAGCCAACCACAAAATTTACATATTTAAATTATAACTTACTCAATATGTAATTGTATTCACATCTGTACAAGATATTTTACAATATGTCTCAGGAAAAAAAAATCCCTTACCGCAACATATTTATAACGTAATTTGAAAATGACGCAATGTGTAATTGGAAATTAATGAGATATGTTTCAAGATGTGTATATACGTTGAGTGTTCACCTCATTAATAAAATGATAATCCATTAATTTACAGTGTTTGATGCATATTTATGTGTGAGTTTGTTGAGAAGATATTTGACCAGTTGATATTTTACAATGTTAAGACTAAGAACTTTAGTACAACATTGGTACAGTGTTGCATTTTATATATTTTACTTTCTACAATGTTGGATTATTGTACAAAGCTGGATTCAGTATGGTATTCTGTTGGATTGTTAAATTGTAAAATGTTGGATTGTTAAATTGTAAAATGTTGGATTGTTAAATTATACCATGTTGGATTCAGTATGATACAATGTTGGCTTGTCAAATTGTTCAAAGTTGGATTAAGATTATACAATGTTGGGCATGATACTTTAAAATGTTGGATTTGATACTGTAAAAGGTGTATAATTATGTAACGTAATATTCTGTTAAATCTGTTGGTCAGATATTAACAAAGTTGAATTTAATATCTCATATTATGAAAGCTGTTGGGAAAACAGCAATATTTGGATCTTTATGGGAAAACACCAATATTTGGACCTTTTGGGAAAACACCCAATATTTGATCCTAAATGGGAAAATAGCAATATTTGGCCTTTACTGGGAAAACACCAATATTGGATCTTTATTGGGAAAACAGCAATACACTATAGCCTCATTATAACGCTCATGGTGGGGTCCAATGTCTCAACACCGCGTTCTACCGAGGCTCTCATTAGAACGCTCATTGCGAAATTAACGCATTACCCCACCCACCGCATATATAATGCTGACGATTTTTACTTACTGTTCAATGAATATCAACATTATCTTTTTCTTAAACAATTCAATGATGTAAACATATATTATATTCACAAATAATACAAATTATATTTAAAAGAAACAAAAAACTTTCGAAAGAAAAACATCAATCATAAATGTAGTGTAAACAGTAAGCCATTACTGTAATGGTGTTTGATTAATGGGGGACACAACTAAAGCTGGACTGTAAATTACAGTGTAATTTACAGTCCAGCTTTAGTTGTGTCCCCTAGTTAATCAAACGCCAATTACTTCCTGTCATGGCTGCTCTATTTACAGTGCAGGATTCTAAATTGATTTTGGGCTTGTGTGGGTTATTTAATTCAGCGAAGTTTACATGTCAAAGATATGTGTGTGAATTTTAGTTTATTTATACTCACCACTGGTTGCCCATGTCACAGTTATGATATGAATTTGAGATTTTGGAAACAATTTGATGCATGACTGATGGACAGGTAAAGATAAACACTTACCTGGGCATGTTTTTCACACCTTGACTGTCAAATTGAACATGCGTTATAGCGCGCTATAAATCTAGAACTACTTTATTTTTTTATTTATTTTTTTTTATTTTTTTTTTCGGGGGGGTTTTTTTTTTTTTTTTTTGGAGCCAAGGTCTATGAGCACTATACTGAGATTAGCGTTATAACGGAGAGCGATATATCGAGGCTGCAGTGTATTTGGCCCTCACTAGAAAATCACCAGTATTTGGACCTTGTTGGGAAAACACCAATATTTGACCCCTACTTCAAGTGAAACATTTACAGACAGGGAATACAGGACTATTTGAGTACAGTGTTTATCCCCTTCTTTAAATAAATCTTATAAACAGATAGTGACCCTAAACAAAAATACCAATTTCAATCCTTAAAACTGGTTAAAAAAATCCCCAATTTCTATAAAAATTACTAATTTTACTATTGTTACAAATCATTCTTTCCCTGTCATCTCAAAAGGTTGGAACCCTTACCCGTAACAATTCCACTGGATACTGCTGGGCACAGTTTAACCAGCATTGGCAATAGATTAATTCTGTTATAGGAGAAGTGATAATTAGTTTTCTATGTTAATTAAAGGTAACTAGTTTATTCAGACCATCTCCTGATTGTATAATTACCAGACAATCAACACTTTTTCAGCTCTCTTGCATTCATTGATCTATATACTGTACTTACCCTATTAAGCATATTTTTTTCCCAAGTGTACACAGATGTATAATTACTATTTCACCAATTATGTGTAAAAAACTACGCAGGTGCCCGTTCGTGCCTGAAATAATGCAAGGAAGGGCACCTGAGGTCTTCCTCCACCAGTAAAGCAGGAATGTCGCCACATGACCTATACTGTGCTGATGTAGGACGTAAAACCCAATTAAACAAACAAAAAATGTGTGAAAAATTTATTATAGGTAATAATATAATATGAAAATTGTACCTGAGGATTTGATTTAAAAAAACTACATTTTCTGAGTTCAGGAATACTGAGTATCTCTATTTGTGCCTGTTCACAGTAAATAAAGCACAAAAGCTGTTTAATAGTTTTAATGTCATTATTTATCATAATTTGCAGTATTTAATAATTTAACATAGAACACAGATTACATGTTTGTTCAGGAGGGGTTATAGGCCATATTTGTGACTGTACTTTGGGATGAAAAACAAACAAACTATACTTGAAGGAAACCATTTGAAAACACTCAGATCTTAAAATCTTAGGGGCGTCCATGTTGGCGTGGTCAAGATCGTTCAAATTTCTCAGGACTTTTGGATTCTTACATGTTAGGAAGCTATCCAGCCAGCATTGGGAACGTCAATGGTTCTACTTATGTGCCTGCTTGTAAACGAGGCCCATCTAAGGTTTCCTTCAACCAATAAAGTTGGAAAGTCACCATATGATCTCTGCTGTGTTAGTACAATGTAACCACCCCTACCCCCAATATAAAATATATGCAATCATGTACTTTGCTATAATTAAATTTTGCTTGCTTGTGAACTGAAATAATGCACTGAGGAGCATCTAAGGTCTCCCTCCACCAATAAAGCTGGAAAGTTGCCATATGACCTCTATTGTGTTAATGCAACATATAACCCCCCAAAAAAAAAATCTTCTGTTATTTACACATTTTAGAAGAAATACGGTACAAGTGTTTAATATAGAAACATGTGTCACAAAGCAGGAATACCTGTAACCTGTACAGACTGATGGAGGATAGCAATATAGACAAAACATTTACCTACAGTTAGATAGAGAGAATAATTATTCAATACTTTTAGTCTGTATTGTACCAGTACAGAATGTCAAGAGTGTAAAAGTGCAGTAGTTTTTAATGCAAAAAAAAATCGGAAATGATGTTATCTTTTAATGGCAAATTGGTTAAAAGGAGTGTTCAGTTGAAAACAAAATTAGGTTAAATGTGGTGTTAACAGTTACTGCAAAATGTTGTTTCAAGTTTCTAAATTTAATATAGTGTATTTTCTGGAAATTTTGTGACAGGCTTATTCGGTTCAAAAAAAGGATACTGTGTACAAAGAGCTATGGCTGAATGACATTTTGTATTGATACAGAATTAGGTTAAAAACTCTGTGACTTCAAAAATATATACAAAATGTAATAATACTGTATTAAAGGCGACCAAGTTTGAAGTGGATTATGGAAAAACCGAAGGTTACAATACTATAAAAGGGTCAAGTTTGTAGTGGTTAAATTGATAATTATTAATTGAAAAATTAAGTGCAAAAAAATGAAGATAAAATTAATGTAACGTATGTGTGGGATAAATTTTATTGTGATAAAATGAGGGAAAGCTCTAAGTAAGTACAACATTGTTTAAATATTTTCCTGGAAGAAGTGTAATTGTTTAGTTACAGAGTCATCATGAGGGACATTTTTTAAAAATTTATTTAATAAACAATGTGCTAGTCCCAACATCATGTCAAGCCCTTTATACAAAGGTTAAAAAATATTGGTC